TGATATAAAATTTAATTTAAATTTATACATACCTGATTATCTTGTACAAACAATTTTCTTTAAATATTATATATACATATGTGCATACACATTCACGCACGTCTGTTTGCTAATATTTGGATTACCTTATTCTAAATTTAATTAAAAACTAATTTAAATGAAAAAAATAGAGAGATTTATTTGTACATTTTTAGATAGTAAAAGGACCTATTATGTACTTAACCTCTAACATAAACCCTTAAAATCTAACACATATGAGATGAATAAACTTTTCTACAGAAATACTGCTCCAGAAGTTATTGCAAATCTTGAGATAATGATCCAGGGCCAAGTAAAATACTCAAAAGTTTTGCATTCGCATGAAATCTCAAAAAAATTATTTAAAATTTGTTGTGTCTTTGATCACAGAGAGGACATCAAAATTGCTTTTTTATCATAAGAAAAGATAAATATGTTTATATATACCAATACCAACAGAACAAGTTCAAAGTCGGAGGAGCCTAACCCAGCTAGTCAAGTCGTTTGCACTTGCAGGATACATATGGCAACAACTATAATTCTAACTTATGATGCTCGTATATCTTATTCTTAATTCTTATTTGTGGAACTTTGAAAAGATTCCTACATTGCAGATTCAGAAACTTGGATCTGGTGCTAGATACTGTCATCTATAATGCAGATTGGAAAATCATCTCTGCAAGTTCCTGCAACATCTCAAAGAAGAAAAGAATACCCCGGATTCAGTTCATGTTACAGTCGCAAAATGTTTTAAGTTTCTTTTCGTCTTTGGGTTGTTTTAAGCTTTTGTGTAAGGACAAGAATCAAAAAATGGAAAATGAATGGGAAAAAATCATTTCTGACATTCATGGTACCTTCTCAGGGAAGAAGAATTTCAAGGAACTGATAAAGAAAAGTGATGGAAATGCACAAGGAACTTCGATACATTACCTGCTTGCCAGAAGGAACTTTGGGTTCACCCCATTCCATTACTTTCTTCTCAAGCATTTCAAAGTCTGCCTTACCAGCCTATTGAAATGTCACCGAGTTAAAATTGGCCAAAGGATGTAACAAAAATAAGCAGCCAAAGAAAATATATTGGACATGGAGATATATTACCTCTATTTTTGCCCCAATTTCTGAATCCCAACTGCTGTATCTCTTGCGTACAAGGTCAGCCAAGGATCCATCCTTCAATTTTTCAATCCATTTAATATCAATATCATGAGAGGAGATAATAAAAATTATCATGTAAACTTCAAATGTTTGCTGAAAATGTTAAGAATAAAAGTATTAACCTCAATAAGCTTCGCAGCATTTCGTAATCCACGGGCCATTGTATCCATTCCAATAATGTGAGAAATGAATAAATCCTCAACATCTGTGCTCTCTCTTCGCCTGTAATATCATAGATGTTAATAAGGTTGCCCAAATGTCCATAAAAAATAAGAATGTTGAACAAAAGAAGAAAAGATGATATCACTAAGAAAGAAAAATGCTGACAGTTTAGCATCAAAGTTGAAGCCTCCTGGTGCAAGTCCACCCTGCAAAGGACAATAATATTTTGGCCACCTTATGAAATCCACAGGCAATTTGGCATTATGACAATTTCAAAATAAAAATGGAAGTTCTACTCACATTTTTAATCACACTCAGCATAATCATAGTTGCCTCTCCAACATCTGTTAGAAACTGATCTGTATCCCAACCTGTAGTAATGACAAGACATATATATATTAAAAGTTGGAATTTGGATATAGCTTGATACCAAGTTTCAAACAGAACTAGAGGAAGCTAATTTTTCCAAAAGTTCAAGCCTGGTATCTTTTCTATACCAGTCTGAGCGTCACCGCTGTTTGCATCAATATTTCCCAGTAAACCATTCAGTCTAGCAGTTTCCAGCTCATGATGGCATCTGCAAAGAAGGAACGGAAATTTGGTTGGAAAAAGCAATATATTAATTTCTTGAAAGATATTTGCTTCAAGCCTTGAACAAGGAAAAAAAACGAAGTGCTTGAAATTCAAAGATATGGCATACGTGTGACCAGATAGAGTGGCGTGGTTGCATTCAATGTTAAGTTTGAATTCTCCTGAAGCACAAAATGTGGGAAAGGATTAGAACAAACATATAATAGGGTCCATAAGGAACCATGACCCATGCGGAATTTCTTTAAAATTCACTGAATTGCTAATGCTATTAAGGATCCATTGCAGATAACTGCTGAAAAGGTGCATTCACCTTAGACTGCAAGGCTCTCAATTCTAATCCAATATTTCAACAGTACTAAGCAGTTCTACAGGCATAGTCGAAATCTTATCCACTTGAACAAAACACCAACAAAGGATTTGTGTGTATGGAACAAATAATGATAAGCTAATTTCAAAGATAACTAAAATATGACAAGTTAAGATAAGCAAGTGAAGTTACAGTTGGATATAGCTCAGGTAATAAATAAGCACAAATATATAAAATAATTAATAAATTTCAAACAAGAAAGACAAGTGCTTTCACATCTGATTGTAATCTAAAGTGTAAAGCAAAATGGACAGCCAAGACAAGTCAAACATGATAACAGAAATTATGATTCCTCACCTATAAGGCCATACTTTCTCAAGAAGTTAGCTGATGTTGCAGCATCCCAATCATACCTGAAAAGTCGTTCACAAGTAAGAATTTCAAGGCATTGTAAACCACAGCGATAATTCAAAAACTTGACTGAAATTCATACTGGTGCTTGGTAGGTTCCTGAGGCTTGGGTTCAATCAAAAAGGTCCCTGAAAAAAAAGTACAAATACTTGCCATTAAGATCTTCTCAATGTAAAAAATTTAAGTGGCTACGAAAAATTAACAAAGACATTCAATGAGAAACGAGTAAACAATGAAAAAAAGATACCGTTGAATCCAATCTTCTTCTTGTAAGCAACAGCACCCTCAAGAAACCTTGCCTGCACATAAATAACAAAGGATTATAAACTCAAGAATTTATTAATTGTATAAGCCAGATATACAAGTGATTACATTGAACATACCAAATGGTCAAGTTCTCTTCCCATATCCGTGTTCAATAGAGACTGATAGCCCTCGCGACCGCCCCAAAACACATAATTTTCACCTCCTAAATAATGTGTCACCTGTTGTGTGGGAAGATAAATGAAAATTTAATATCAATCCATATGACAATCAGCGGCACACACTATTCTTTTTCTTCTTAACAGTAATGGCACACGGTACCCCACCTCTATGGCTTTCTTCACTTGAGCTGCAGCATATGCATATACTGCTACTTCAGGGCTGAAGTTCAAGCACCAAAAGAGTAGTCAACCCATGAACAAAGATGACTTGGATTCATCTAAGAAATTATACAGTACCTAGTTGCACCACCATGCATGTAACGAGGATGCAAAAATAACTGAGCTGTACCCCACAAGGGATGGATTTTGGTTCCCTGTAGGACATATAAATAAGTGAGAGGAAGTATAGGACACCCCAATAGCTCTCACTCAAAATGACTCTAAGAATTTTCTGAAAACATGATACCAAACTCAAACAAGTTTGACATACAAGCATTTTGTGCTCTCCAAGAAACAATGCCAAATGCAGATGACCAAATAACATAACAATCAAATGATGCCAGGGACTCTTTAAACATGAGTTCCTCCATGTCTAACCATGCAAGTTGTGTTCGACAAGACAACAATGGCAAAAATGTAGATAAATAAATAAGATGACTTCATAAGGATATTAAGGCCTTTAAACATGAGTATGGTCCATGTCTAACCTTCGGAAGGGATTTCCTTGCAAGCAAAAAGTTCAAAACATGGCAAAATGTTTGCTTTTTTGCCAAACCATTGTGGATTGTTGAGGTTGGACTATACATTACACTAAATCCACTTGTATACCTAATAATATTCATTAGGATAACTTTTTTAAACAATAAACTGCAAGTAAATGCGGAAATAATGTCATTGCTTTCTCACTTCTAGGAAATCACTTACACTTTATAATCTATATGAGCCTAAGGGGACACCATGAAAACTGAAAGGTCATCATATGATTCTTTAAACTTTAATCTGACATTTAAGCATTTATGAAATAAAAAAAAAAAGTTACCTGAAGCTCTTTGGCAAGGGCAACAACTTCATCCAGATTTTTGTTAGTTTCCTGCAACAGGTAGACAATAACCATGAGCTGATTCAGAGGGGAAAAATTATGGTAGAAAAAAAAATGAGGGCAATCATGTGGAGGTAGGGGTATTTGGGGGCAGCTTCTCAGTGAAGAGTTTTGCTGTCAAACAATCTAAAGTGCCAAAAGAAACCCCTTTCTCCCGTGTTACTTCTGTTAAATGCTATTTAGAAATTACACTCTAACAATTGTATCTTTTAATAAAATTTTGTGTAACCGTATAAGATTGGCTCACCTCAAGAGTTCTGCCATCTGGGGCGATGTCCCTGTCATGGAAACACCACAAATCAACTCCAAGCTTCTCTAGGAACTCAAAGTTGGCTCTCACTTTTGTTTCCATAAAAACAGAAGGATATTAGATTTTCTCATAAATTAAATTGGTAAGGATTGAGAGGACATCGTGTGTCTTATTTATCAATCTTACTTCTTCTTTTCGCGATAGCCAACGAATTTGTACCATCTTCCCATGGCCAAAACTTTGTAGGCGCACCAAACGGATCACCTCCATTGCCACGGAATGTGTGCCAAAATGCAACACTGAATCTAAACCAATCCTGCAGCCGTCCAAAGACATAAGTTAATATCACCAACTTTGGCATGATAAATTCTATATGGAAAAAAGAACTTAGCAACCTTCATTTTCTTCCCAAGAATCTCCTCGTCTGCATTATACCATTTGAATGCAAGTGGATTCTTGCTAGTAGGACCCTGAAATCAAATTAGAAATTCACGAGATTTTTGCAAACTTAAGCAGATATCATAATACAAAGATGAAAAAAGAAAACAAAAACAATGTCCCCTAACAATATGCCCAAGTAATAGAATCGACTGGCTTAAGACAATACCTTCCAACAAGTACTATCAAGTAAAACCAACAGAGAGGAAGGGGAAAAAACCAATAAAGTTTTCACAAAAAAAATCTTCTTTTGCTCTATTGGTATGCGAGTTTAGATCAAAATTAATCAAATCTACGACACTTTGCACCAGGACGAAAGAAGATCATTATTGAAAATAGCCCTATTTACCTCATACTTAATCTCGGAAATCCCGGGGAAGAATTCCCCTTCCCACTCGTTTGATGCACCACACTGCTCGACGAACTCGGAAGGACATGTTTGTGGAGCAGCAAGCTGCATACAAAAGAATTACTTATTGACAAAAGAGACATTATCAGTGAACAATTACTACTACAATAACAGGTTATTTAACAAATATATCTTTTTTTTCTCGTAAAAGCAAGCTACTTTACCACTAAAAGAGAGACCGCAGTTAAACAGAGAACAAACAGCAAAATTCCCTCCGTCTTCATGTTTCGCATCTCATGCATAACACTTCTGCAACATACAGGGAAAGTGACCGAACGACCATCAAAGAATCATCAACCATTAAGCATCAGTCATCAAACAAATAAATTACATTTTAAGAAGTCCCAAATTGAATAATGGGTTAGTACCAAAATCGGCGATCAAAAGGACCCCAAGAAACAGTAAAAATTGGTATAGAAACTATCAATTGCACTAAAAGTTTTTTGAGGAAAATAAGGAAAAGGAAAGAAAGAGAAGAAAAAAGCGTATAGATAACACCAAGAGGACTCACACAGCAAACCCAGAAAGCGTGAGAAAGACACTGGAACTTGGCTTCTACAACACCGTGCAAGCGCAATGCTTATCAAATATGTTGAGGTAATTTAGCAAATTATTCATATATATATATATATATATCGCTGATTAACGGGAAAGAAAATTAATAAAATAATAACTCCTAAAATTGGATTAGAAGAGTAATGATGTGTTTATCCTCTGACTAAATTTTAAAACGTTAACTGCCCAAAATACCCTTGCATATCAGGACTAACCAGGACGAACCCATATCCATTTGTGAGGGTATTTCAGGTAAATGAATCCCTTCGTTTTAGGAGATGATTAGGACTGAAATTTGAATTGGGTGGAACTCTAAAAGTTCGCGCAGTTGAGGTACTAGACTGACAGATAATATTTCGACGGTGTTCCATGAGAGAATCGTGGCCGTTGGGGGCTAAATCTTACAAAAGCTCTGGGAGTTAATTGGTCAGTTATTTATAGATTTGTTTTGCTAGGTGAGGGAAGTTAGTCCTCGTTATCCAATAAATATGTCACGAAAGATGAGGTGGCCATACCAAGTAGTTTTGAAATTACAAGATGACTCACGTCATTATCCTAAAGCTCCATAAAGATTGTTATAGCAATAGTGCAGGAAACTGCTGCTTGCTCTCTCCGCAAAAATTGTTATTAGCACTCTCTTCTGCACTGTGAAATGGAATATTGCAAAAGAGAAAGGAGAGTGGTAATATCAATTCGACTTAGCGTTTGCGGAAGCTTTTGTGTTAAATGTGCATCGAAAGCCCTACTCTTAATGTGTTTGGTTCAGAGCTCTCTTGGATTTGGCTCAGTCTATAGTCACAGCCTTCTTTTCGATCTCCTTCACTCTCAATATCGTCACATCTTTACATGATTTTCTCAATTTGTGCCATCTAGAAACCCTAGGCGATCATTTGTCTTCCTCGATTCCAGATGCTCATCCCGAAACCCTAGTCTGCAAAGCCAAACTCGTGCCTACACGAAGAATATTCAATGAACGCTATGGTCCACTCCTGATGTTTCGCTTTTTCTTGGCAGCTCGTTTCTTTGTCTTATTTTTTCGTGCTTGGAGCTCGTTCTCTTCTTCTGCGCTCCCCTTCAGTTCAGAAGACTCTGTCGTCTCCCGTCTGAGGTGAAGAGGAAAAATACAAGCGAAATGGGCTTAGCGCGAGAGGCTACTTCTGGGCTGACTCGGATTAACGGGCTGGGCTTTTAATGAATATCTGCATTTGGAGTTGGGCCGACACAATCCAAACCCAATTTGCGGTAATTTTTCTTTTGTCTTTTTTAATTTTTATTTGGGAGTTACTAAAATAGAAAAATGACTAAATATCAAATATTAATAAATTTTAAAAATTAGAATTTAAAACATGTGCATAAGAAAATAAGAAACTTTAACGTATAAATTACTCGTATTCTCAACACGAGTAAACTTGTTGGTAGCGTTATCCACAATCCAACTTTGAGTTTGTAATCAACCGCGGGAGAAATATTTGACCGCATATTGAAAAGTGATTTGTTTTTCTCAATATATATAAATGTTAATTGTTCTTTTTCAGAGTTTCTCTTTTTTCATATATGATAGAGAATTGATAACATTTTCTTATTGCGTGCTAATTAGTTTGTTTGCTTTCAAGTGGTGATATGATTATTTTTGTTTATTTCCTGTGAATATCAAAAGGAGATCTTTTACTATAAAAAAATAAAAAAATAAAAAATGTATCTTTTCGTTAGGGTAATAATAAAGGCTAAGATATCTTATTTTACATTTAATTTCTGTAAATTATTCAAATTGTGTGCTAAATTTTTTGCATTTAAATTAACCCCCAATTAATTAAAAATATGCAAATCACCCTTCACCATTAGAAAAAAATTAGAACTATCAAATATTAGCATGCGGGGGGAGGGCAATAACGTCGTTTGCTCTATTCTATCTACATAGATGTCATATAACGAATTAATTTTTCAACTTATTTGATAAACTCTTTCTTTTTTTGTGGATAGATACCAACATGAATTCCCACAAACTTGAGTTCCTTTTGTCTGAAGGAGCGAACCACAATGCAATCTCTACAGTTTGATCTCATAAGAACTCTTATATGATCATCATTTGCTATCAAATAAAGTGCAACATTAGAAGAATTTCTTAGTGGAGATGTCATCAATTGAGAAATCTATTCAGAATATAAGTAATGCTATGTAAAATAGTTTTCCTTGCCCAAAGAGATTGCCAGAAAAGCCTAGTTGCCAACGGTGATGAAGTCCAAAATATTGGGGCTCATGGCTGTAGTCAAGCTCAAGAGGAGAAGCCGAACAAGCAAATATTAAGGGGGCATTTAATTTTCTTCTCTTTCCTCTCTTAGTGTAAGAAAAAAAGAACTGAACGTCTCTTATATTTGCTTCTCTTACCTCTCCCTCCTTTATATATGATTCTTTTTGAGCATTGAACTCGAATATGCTTCTTCACATGCTTCTAACTCCTGATCTTCCTTAATGAGTTCTCATTTTTAGTTTTTCAATAAAATCATTAATTTTTTCCGCTTGCCCTCAAATCTTTCTTAAAGTGGAAGTAATTTTTTCGAGTTTGGCTCTGAATCTCAAATAATTTGCGAATAGTTTAGGTTATAGCTTTTATTTTTGACATTTTTAGGGAGAAAAGCTCACTATCGACGATCATGGCAAAAAGGGTTTTCAAGCCTAGCTATGTCCGTGGCAATTGCTATTTTACCCATATATGACTAACCTATTATGCCTTGTGATTTTTCTTCCTTAATCACCTAGAGGATAAGCCTCCTATGTGGTGTCGTGATGGAAAACTCCTCTGTTTTACTATATGGTGTTGTTATAGAAGGCGACTATTGACTTGAGAAGCAAAGACCAACAAGGGTAGAAGCTAAGGCGTGAAAAAAATTTTTGTTTATAACATTGCGTGAAAGGCGATATAAGTAATTGGGTGTTCATTGGGGTTTAACGTTAGTTCATTAATTAGGGCACGAGACATACTGGTGTATTTTGAATTACTCTTTGTGGATGTTATGTGTTGGTGATGTGTCATTCACGTGGTATATTTAGACATGTCAGCGAATACATGTGATCACTACTAACAACGTTAATGAATAATAATAATTGATGATAAAATTTGAATATTTCTATGGTCGAAAGTTGATTTAAACATAAAAATAGTTCGTAATGTAATTTAAATATTTTTTAAAAGTTTGAAAATGAAATCAGATATTTTGAAGAATAATAAAAAAATGTATAAATAAAATTATTAACTGAGACAATCGTTAATTTTTATTTTTTATTAAAAAAAAATAGAGTATCAAAATTAATAATTAAGAAAATATTATTTGGAAGATAAGATTAATTTAATTATTGCTGTTTTAATTAAAAATCTTTATATTATTTACTTAGTTTGATATATTGAGTGCTTGTTACTTCTTTTATTTATTAAGTGTTGGATGGATAATTGATTTACTCCTTACGAATTCGTATTCTATCATAAACACACCCATACACATCTTCTCTGTATCTATATCTTCATTTTCAATCAAAGCTCACATGTATATTCTTTCAACGAATATTTTATAAATTGTTTTATTCATTTTATCATTATATTTAAATAATTAATTGCTCTTTCATGAAAAAGTACTCTTCTTCTGGCTTGTATTTAATTATAATTAAGATTGCTGCCAAAGAACTTTAATATAATGCGAAGATCGTAAATTTTCTTAATGAGAAAATCGTGCTTACCAAACTTGTGACTAATTTACAGGTGGAGCTTCAGCTAACCATCATGTTCGCCTGCACCCAAAAAATTCCACCAACCGCAGCTACCCTCCAAGTGCCCAAAAAAGCATGAGAAAATTTCAGCTTTGAGGAGTTTCAAAATTAATTAAGGAAGAAAAATACAATCAAACCAATCTGATAAGACTTTTTCACTTCTAAGTAGGCTAGCCTTCGCATTTGACTGGCGTAAAAGCACATGCTTTTGGCTTTCTTACTAGATTTCATCAACACATATATATGATGAACATTTACATACGTACAACTATGAAATTAAACAAGTCGTCAATGCATAAACAGATACTGACATAAATACATTTAGAAATTATCCACATGCAGGCAGTTATATGAATTCTTAGTATTTCATTGTATTATTTACTCGTGAAAGGAAGAATACTAGACTTGGAAATATCTGAACGGTTCATTTGATAAAGACATCACCCAACATGCTGGCTTTTAAATGTATAGGCATTCCTTGTATCGCTGAGTGTACGTAGACCAGTTGAATGAAATGAAACCTTCAAACAAAATGCGGGCGCGTTAATGTACTAGATTATTACCGATTGAATCGAGAGAATAATTCAGGATATTGTTTGAAGAATTATCGGACAAATCATACTTCAGTATATAATAACAAATTTACTCTTAGAGATTAATAGTTATCACCTAAAACAAACCAATCCATCACCCATAATAAAAGATTACTAGTAATGTTCATGGAAAATAGTTACCCTCGCAAGAGGAAAAAGAAAAGCAACGTATTAAACACCATTTGAATTGATAGCAAAATGGAGTTATTTGAAACTGATCTGGTTTTACTGTAAGAAAAGCCACCCACCCATTTCAGGACACGTGGTGATCGACTGTTCTATTTTGTCAGACCTCTAGGATCTCACGTGGCATTACTTTGGTCTCAAAGAACATGGTCCAGTAAGTCATGGATGCCACATTAACAGCTAACTGCCATTCAAAACCATAGTTTCAGTCAGATCAGCAACTGGTCAAAAAAGCTAATAGCATATACTCCTTTCTCTTCCATGGATTCAAGACTCGTACGCCACACAAAGAAATAAAAATAAAGTTCTTCCAAATCCGTGAGTGGAAAAAGTAATAGTAAATAAACAAATAAAACAAGATTTGCACGGATATAGCTGTTAAAATTGTTAGTCCTAAGATGGTTCCCTTGATAAAAAAAAGACAACCATGAAAATGGCAGATGCAAGAAAGAAGCACGAACTACTTCCCAAGATAAGTCAGATTTGTTAACAAAGAGTTACGGCAGGGAGGATATAAAGGACATCTTCAAGGTACAGACAGAAGAAGAAACTTCCCAAAGTAAATCGAAATACCAAGAGTCAGAGCAGCGAGGATATAACCAACATCTCCAAGGAGGAGAAGGACTTGAAGTTGATTTTTGTTTCAAGCAGGAAATGGGATTTACAAGCAACGTAGGAAAGTACCAGCTTGGTCGGACAATTGGAGAGGGAACTTTTGCCAAGGTTAAGCTAGCAGTAGACACCATAAGTGGCCAATGTGTAGCAATCAAGATCATTGATAAATGCATGGTCATGGAAAATAATCTTAACCATCAGGCAAATACTCGAAACCTTTTTCTCATTTTTCCAATGAAACGATTCTGAATCTCTGTATCTTTCTAATAAGAAAATGATACTTCAGGTCCAAAGAGAGATCAGAACAATGAAGCTCCTGGACCATCCCAATATTGTAAAGATACACGAGGTATGCTTTTTGGAATTACTTGCTGTCTGGTATTAATGTTTTCCCTTTCAATTTGCCTGTACATCATATCCAATGTCAATTACAGGTGATTGCCACGAAGACCAAAATTTACATAGTCATGGAATATGTATCAGGAGGACAACTTTCAGACAAGTTGGTAAGACACTCGTACAGCTGCATTTAAGACTCAGTAAGTAGAGTAAGGAAAGAACAATTTCAGTTGACGTTTCTAAGACGTTTTATCTAGTGTTATGCCAAGAAGCTGAATGAAACAGATGCCAGACAAATTTTCCAGCAATTGATTGATGCAGTTGATTATTGCCACAACAAAGGGGTTTATCATAGAGATTTAAAGGTCGTATGCCAACCCTCACTTTTTTTGGAGCGCCCTTATTCTCACACTATTAGTGTATATTCTCAGAGCTACGTAAACTTATCAGACTGATTTTATTCCTCTGGCACAGCCAGAAAATTTGCTTATAGACAGCAAAGGAAAGCTTAAAGTGTCTGATTTTGGACTAAGCACACTCCGGAAGGTAGTTTAAGACATTTCCTGCTGTTTTTTTATCATTCAAGCAATAAATCTTCAACCAAGTATTGATTCAACCCTAACTACTAACAGCCAGGAGAGATGCTACGTACAGCTTGTGGTTCACCCTGCTATGTAGCACCTGAGGTAAGTGTCAGTCTTTTCCTTTCACTCATTCACCTTTCATCTTCTAACATACGAAAATTCAAGAACTTGCAACAGAAAAATATAGTGTAAACAAGGTCATTATGGGGACAGTACAAAGAGAGCTCGCCTGAATGTTCTTCAGCATCTTAACTGATGGTTAATCTTCTGGTAAACAGCTGATTGAGAATAAGGGCCATGATGGAGCACCTGCAGATGTTTGGTCTTGCGGAGTAATTCTTTTTGAACTACTTGCTGGTTATTTACCATTTGATGATCATAATCTTGTTGTCTTATATAGAAAGGTAGCCGTCTATATATTGACTGTAGCCTACTTCCAGTATTGATAAATTGCTGAATACTGATTATAGTTAACTATGTGCAAAAAAAGATATCCAGAGCAGATCACACATGGCCACCATGGTTCACTAAAGACCAGAAGAAGTTAATCTCTAGAATATTTGATCCAAATCCTAAAACGGTGAAAGTCCAAATTCATCAACTTACAGGTTTCAAATTAAGAATGAACCAATTGATAATCAGTAACCTTTTTCATTGCAGCGAATCACAATACCAGAGATCATCGAAGATGAATGGTTCCAAAAGGACTATGTTCCTTCTTTTGGGTATGAATGCAATGACAAAATATGCTTGGATGATCTCAGTGCTGCTTTTGATTCACTTGAGGTAAATGCTTTAACCAGCAGCAAGTTAATAAAATTGTATAGTTCACCTAAATGAATGAAATTCTATACAGGAGCATGGCACAGATAAAAACATGCCCAAGTCTCCTACTTTCATAAATGCTTTCCAGTTGATAGCAATGTCTCACGACCTTGACTTATCAGGTCTCTTTGAAGAACAGGCAAGTCTATCAATCATGGAATGGGTTTTCTAATTTACAGACACATTAGTTTACTTACACATTTTCAATGAGAAAAATTTCCTTCCTCAGGATGACAAGCAGAGAACAAGGCTTGGATCCAAAAATACAGCGCATGAAACTATCAAGAAAATTGAAGCTGCAGCAACAAATGCCAGTCTATCGGTTGAAAAGATGAATAACTTCAAGGTACAGTCAGGTTAGTTACCTACTGGTTTATCCAATTATTTTTTCCATCTCTGAGTATTATTTATTTGGTTGCAACATCAGATGAAAATTCACCAAAAACAGAGAATGTTCAGAAGTTCTAGAAACTATTGCAACCTATCTGCAGAGGTAACAAGAATTTTCTAGTCTTCTCGTAAACAACATATAGAGGTCTCACCACTCTATTTGTTTACTTTCAGGTAATTGAGGTTACTCCAACGAATTGCGTTGTAGAAATATCAAAGTCTGCAGGAGAGCTAATGGTTTACAAAGAGGTAGAATAAATAAACTATAAATTACGTTTTATGACTCTATGATTATGCAATCAACTAACATGATGTCGTCGGGCAGTTCTGCAAAAGCTTATCAAGTCTACTGAAAGAGGAATAAAAGTATCCTCACAAGTGCCAGAATCTAAGCTAGTTTAGTCAACATGAACAACAACAACATGCACGAAAAATGCATGGTAATGTCAAACCTTACTTTCACATAGAACAGACAGTAACTGCGCTAGCACTACTATATTTCACTTGTGCAACTCGGAAGAAACAACCAACAAAGAAGGTAAGGACCTAATGGGCTGTTCTTCATTTTGATTATCACCTTGTCGCAACTTTTTTTCCTACCAAGATTCCTGTCAGATATTTAGGAAATAAAATGGCATGTTATAATCTACATTAAACATGCAAATGAGGGAACAAATAAGAATTGCTTATAACTAGCCTCAAATTCAAAATTACCCAGTGACTTTGCCAATAAACCTGGTTTCTTCAATATGGAATATTTTTCTTCAAATTTTCCTTTTGTTAGACAGTATTAACTTGTTACAAGATGTACATTAGAGATTAGTACTTTCTATTGATTCTTCTATTGAAAGATAACTCCAAAAGACATGAATTTCTCAACTTGTTATTGTGCATGCAGAAATATGATTTCACATCCCTAAATTTGTAATCAAAGTCCATTCATCATATTAGATGGTTTTTTTTTTTTCACAGTTTCACTAGGCTGGAAGCCAATTAAAAAGCAGAAGATTTTAAGCAACTTCCTAGTAATCCATTCAAGTTAGTCAGTCATGCTATGGTGCTGGCAAAGTCATACTTCTGAAAGCACAACACACTGAATCCATTCAATCTACAATATAAATTCTCAAATTATAACTTTTAATACAGTCTATCAGTTTGGTTCTTAGATTAGAAGTTGACTGAAACTGCAAAGAAGAATTCTATAAAAATTTATTTATCAGAGATAAGGTTCGTGCAATGGGATTATCTCAAGTTCTTTCCTTTTCTTTTTCTTTCTTTCTTTTTTAAAGGGGGAGGGGGACTGGAGATTCAAACGTGTCTGCAATTTTGTCATCCTAGAATAAACCAATTACCTATGCTCTTCGACCAGAATGTTGACATGATATTTCAAAAGTGGATGTCAAAATAAAAGAAATGAGATATCCATTTTGGTTTTCAAGTTCAATTTTGGGTTCAAAATTGCCTTATCCATACCAGAGGTCGTATATGAAATGCCAAACAAAGGAGGTGGGGAAATTTGAACTACACAGCATAACAATAAATAATTAGCAGAAATACAGAAACGTTAACTATACGAAAACTATACGAATGCTTCAGCCCAGAGGTAAGAAACATTGAATTACAAATGTTAATGGCATGAACTGCCAACCAGAAGTAGAGGAAAAGCCATAAAGTTGTTAAAACATGTCTTCTTTTGATCAAACTAAATATTTTTAAAATGAAGCTCATGAAAGGAATAGAGAAGAGGAATTAGATAAAATAAAACATGCAGCAGACTAAATCAATGCAACTTTTCCTGACCTCACGCAGAGTTTTTCTACTCCATGTATTGTCTTTTCAGCTGAATATTCGAACTCTTGATCCTCAAAAAGCATTCAGATTTCTGAACGAAATGATTTCTTACACCTTTGGCAGGACAAAAAGTAAGACAGCAAAAAGTACAGGACTACTTCAAAGTTGGTAAACGTCGAAATATACAACTGTAGAAAGTTGGAAAAAATATCTACTTTATTTTCTTAAGTCTCTGATGTTATTACAGACGGAGTATATATACAGAATTTCTATATACAAATGAGGAAATCACCCTTATAGTAAGAATTCTAATTAATTACAGCATTACGAGAAAAATTACGGGAAGAACTATAGAAGAAAAATATATTTTAACTAATTAAACAACAAAATATTTTAGTTAACAATAACTAATCATATCTGTAAGGAATCTGATTTGAATTGGTATTATAGGATTTGGGATCCAAAAATTCTTCATCACCAGTGACTTCTTTCTGTTACTTATATCTCCAGAGATAACCGGGAAGCAATGCATTCAAATTCAATTGCAAGTACATGAAATATGCTAGAAACAATGAGTAGAATATTCTATTGCTAGAATAATTCTATTGAGGACTTGAAAGTTTTTCTGCAGAAGACATGAAACAACATGAAAATATAGTTCAAGTTACTCTGTGCGAGGGAATTGTTTACAATATAAAAATTGGAACATCAAGAGAACGCATTGAATGAAAACGATCCTGGTAGATGTCATATATGAGATATAAAACATAAGAAAGCATAATCCAGAAATTGAAGCAGAGACACTAGCTAAAACCTAAAACTGGTTCTAAAATCACAAAGAAAAAGGGAAGTGAAATACAAATGGTGTTTTCTTTTCCTTCTTACATGTACATAAGTTCAGAAGTTATGTAACTCATAATGATAGCTATGCAACTCCCCATTAAATTAGGAAGAATGTAAAAAACAAATGACACTCTTTTTCCTTTTCCTCTCTTATATGGGTAAGGAGGCAGTGTTGCCCCTTTGCACACATAAATTTCAGACATACATCTCAACCCTTAAACCCCACCTATCCTACCACTTGAGCTAAAAGCAGCTTCTGACCAAATGATTTATATAACTACTTACCTAAATATCTATAAGGTTTCTAAACACCAAAAATCCATTATGTCAGGAAGAATGTAGTTTGATGACATTCTATCCTTTTCCATTTTTCAATCCCCTAGGCAAAGAGGCAATAAGATTTTGCTTTACATATTTATAGCATTCAGATCTTCCGTTGTGAAACTGTAAGGGCCAACAGCTAAACTATTGACAGGCTAGTCAGGAAGGATAGTACCGGCAGAGTTTGCAGCAAACCACCACTACAGAATCATATTGATTTTATCTATCATTAACTAATAGAAAGTGGATCCATACAAAAAAAAAAGAGCATTTCTTTATATAATTGAACCACAAAATAGAAAATTGTAAACTTGAACATTCCTAGTGAAAAAGCAGGTAATGTACATCAGATATTTGAAAGGATAATCTATTTGAATTATGTTCCACAAGCTCAACAACTTTCCTTATGTCCTCTCACCAACATGAAAATATACTTCACATCTTCATGCATGAGAAGGTACATGCTACACCAAAAAGAGTAGAATACCCATCGCCTAGTTGCTGGTTGGAGGACAATTAACTTGTCGAAACTAGAGAAGGAAGTTATCAATCATGTGGAAAACCACATCAGCACCATCAGAATTCAACCAGTAGCTCTTTACCTGAACACAAGAGGATTGATGACAGAAGAATAACGGAAACGTCAAGAAATTGGAAATATGTATAAAGCAAATTTCTCCAAGTAATGAGACATTTGCACTTGACAATGATGACTAAAATAGACCCTAAAGTTTGCCAAAACACTGATTGCAATTTGGTCTGAAGGTGACGTAGCAAATCACACATCAGAAATTTAGCTTCCCTTAACTTTCTAGTATAGTCTAGGAATTTTTTGCCGAATGCTCACAAGTGAAAATTCTTCCTACAAGTCCTGCAACAGTTGAATGTAGTTTACTTGCCTCTGTGTGTGTGTG